TTTATGTCCTGCCTCCAGGTGACTGATACTCACATCATTTTCACCTGGAGGCAGGACATAAAAGCCTGAATTTTGCCTGAAACTCTCAGACTGAAGAAGTCTCTTGGAAGAGAGACGAAACGTTTCATTAAAGAAGAACCCGTCCAGAGGACCTATACAATTTTTTTTTCCTTCAGAAAGGAAGGTGCTAGCTGCACGAAATTTGAACACTACATACGTGTAACAATTTGGCTCAGTCAAAACATCCCTAACCAGCCTGTAAAATGATTGCTAAAAATCAATATGAATATTAGTCATAATTTTAGACTGGAAGGTGCGTGCCGCACGAAATTTTTAGTCAAGTTATGTTTACATTTTCACAATAATTTTTATTTGAGTCATTGTTCTATTTTAAACTGTGCGTAGACAGTCAATAAATCATATTTTTTTTACTATTATTACTTCCTCTTTTAAATTGCCCCACAAAACATGCCAATCTGACCAATCACGAGTAGGGTCAACTCCGCCCACATCAAGACCTCCGCCAATCACGAGTGGGGCCGTCTCCGCCCACAAGACAACATGCACTGCAGAGACCCCTACTCAGCCTTTTTAACCTCATCCTCGGTTCAATCGAACACTCATTTTCTTGCTCGAGACTGAAGTGCATGTGCATCTTGTTAAGATGCAAAAATCACAGCGCCATCTAGTGGCCTGGCATGAAAACCACGGTGGATTTGTCAAACATGGCATTACTGTATAAAGGCCTGTCTTTACTACAATCAAAATTGGAAAAACCCTTAAGTTTACAGATATCGTTTAATGTGTGATCAAGAACTTGGACTGCAAAATATATGACGACCCAAACAGTTAGATTAAAACAGACAACAACTCTTCCTCATGAAAACACATTGGAAAAAATGAGTCATACGTTTATTAAAAATGAAATCCAAATTTGTGTTTAATAACTGTGATTACAGTATTGACCCACATTGTGATTATGATTCTTTCCACGTTCAAGCAGCCCAGCTAATACATCACTGTAGCGTTCACACTGAAGGAGGTTTACCAAACTTGCTGTGATCCAGCAACGCTCCAACAACTCATGTAGGCTGTGGAGAGAGAGTAGCGGGGTCAGCGTCAGGTGCGAAGGGTGCAAAACTGATGCTTTAGTCCAAAATACAAGTGAGCAAAACCCCTGTGGGAAAGATAGAAATGAAAAAAAAAAACCAAAAAGAAAAAAAAATTATGTAGGTCTTCTGGACGGGTTCTTCTCTAATGAAACGTTTCGTCTCTCCTCCAAGAGAC